ACACCCACCACGCTCCCCCTCCCCCCCCCCCACACACACACACACACACACACACACACACACACACACACACACACACACACACACACGAGAACTGAGTTGAGAATCTGAGCACTGAACCATCTCTATCCTCTCATGGGTACTGGGAAGCAAGCCTTGTGTATCTCCAGGTACTAATTGCTGGTTAGGAATAACAGGCTAGCCAGGGAGAAGGGCAGGAGGAGTTAAGAAAAGCTCTTCCTGGGAAAATGTGGGAGACTGTTGAGAAGGGAGAACTGCTAAGCCTCTCCTTTCTCAGTTTCAGAGCTGAACTTTTGCTCACAGCAGGTGTGTACAGGCTTCTTCCCACACCCAGGCTCCCTCCCCTGCCGCTGTGCAGTCTGTTAAGTAAACAGAGACGTTATACTGAGAAAGGAACATTTCTCTATTTTGGCTGTTGAGCTGTTATTTTTAAAGCTTCACCCTCCAAACATTTCCCCCATCCTTGTTTATTCTTTTCACTAAAAAGAAGATGTACTCCTCTTTTAAAAAGTCAACTATGTAACAAGAAAAACCCACCTGTAGTGTATACTCTCCATCCAAGGCCAAAAGAAACCTTTGATGTGACTACCAACCCCACCCCAGATTCCAGCAGTGTAGCTTCCAAAGGTTTCTCTCTGCTTCTACTGAACGCCCAACCATTCAGATTTCCAGTCAAGGTGAATGCATATGGCACTTCTGATACGTGGGTTCAATGGCCAACCACTGTCTTGAAGACACACCTCTCTATCAGTATTTCTCTGCCAGATACTTAAATGCTGTCCCTTTTGTGTGGACACTCCATTGCAAATGAAAACTCAATAGTCTGATATTACTAAACCAGTCACTTGACTATCCATCTAGTTTGCATTTGGGCACCTTGCAACTTGCAGAGGCTCTTATACCATTGCACTGTATTTATCTTCTTCCTTGTCATCTTGCTTCCATTTTGATATGTTTTGATATTGATATAAGCATCAATACTCATGCCCCTCTTGTCCTACTCTGATATCTAGGCCAATAACTGCTACAAAATAGTTCTTTGGTAGACCTTGTGGAATGGTTTAAAATAGAACAAGAAAGGAAAATAAAAGAAACTGTGTTATTGGTATTCCATCCTCTGGCTGGTAGAGCTGCATGGTTTGACTTACAAGTTTGGGTCTAAGTCCTTTGATCAGAAAAATGAGAAAATGCAACATGTTTACTGTGCTGGACATATATGAATATAAAGGAAGTCCCTTGCATATTTCATGTCAGTGTGAATAAAGGTGTTTTGCTCAATAAGTGACATTAATAAAAATTGCTTGCTACCTGGAAGAAAGATATTAAGCTCAATTCTGTCTTACCTGTTGCATCAAAATAATTCCCAAAGGCTGGTTGCATAATTCTGTGAACATATGACAATCTGATGAATTTTGCTTTTTAAATGGGTAAATGTATGGTATGCAGTTATAGCTCAATAGAGTTGTCAGAAAAATGAATGTATCTCAGAAGATCAAAGATTGATATAGAAAAAAAAACTGTGGAACTTCAACTAAAAGGAAGAATAAGAGAACGGCCATATGATATCAGAATGGAGTATGGTCCTCTCAAGCAAAGATATTGTTTTAAATCTATTAATGAGACATTTGACCTGCAATAAAAATCTTGTAGAAGGAAATACCAAGAATGAAATTAAAAGAAATATATGACAAACCAGGAAAAATGCCTCTAACACAAGACTAATTAGTATAATATATAAAGAGTTCCTAGTAATCAATATGAACATGACTGATAACCCTGAGGGTAAATGTAGGCAAAGGCTAAGAGCACGAAGGTCAGAGAAAAATTTGTGTTAATATACTGCACAGGGCTACCAATGTAGCTCAGTAGTGAAATAGCAATATGTTTTCTTAACTTGTGGGAAGCCTACATATAAACCTCAGGATGAAAATAGAAAAGGAATTTTCTACCTATTTTTGTATTTACAGATATAAGCTTTTTGAAAGTAGCTCAGCAAAATTAGTAAGCATGTCCTTTCACCTAGGAATTCTAATTGCAGAATTATGTTTTATAGCTCCCTGTATGTGACATAAGAGATAAACATGTTCCTGAATGAATTGTTACAACAGCATGATGATTGAAAGCAAATTAAATGTCAGGGAAGAAAGAGGTGGCCCAGGTTTCCATCATGTTCTGCTGACAGTGTTTTGGTCACAGTGGGCCACATGTACAGAGTAGTCCCCCAAGACTATATCACTCAGTGACATCACAGCTATCTTACTTTAGGTCTGCTCTATGAGGTTCACACAGTGACAAAACTGCCTAATTAATGATGCATTTCTCAGAATGTGTTCCCATCAAATGATGCATGATTACACGGCATTTTGTTGAGTGTTAAGCTATCCCTATGTTGTGGGGGGGTGCACTCCAAGACAAAAACAAATCCTAATGCTCGTAAGTGCATTTGTGCTTATGTTTGAAATGCTTATGTGTTTTATAAATGTCTGCATATTCACAGACTGTTTTAACTTTTTTCATGTATTTTCAGTTATTCAAACACATCATGCCTTAAAATAAATTAATGCCTTTCATATATAGTATCTCATTTAATTTCTGAAACAACCCCACATATAGGATACAGGTGCATGTGATAGCCCCTTGAGATTTCTCACTTACTAGTTGCTAACACTGAGTTTAAACTCTTGAAGTTGAGTCTATGACACAAGATAAAAGCCTGAATTACCCCAAGTGATACAGAACACATGTAGTTGGCCAACAGCTTCCAATTCTTACAAATTTACTCCCTGTCTCCTCTTCAAGTCCAACATACCACTCTGTGCCCTTCTGTGTTAAGGTATATCTCCCTTCAAATCATGCATTCTCATTTCTTATTAAAACCTGCATCTCTTAGGGCAAACTTGTACACCACCGACTAAGTCTGCCTTCAATTGCCATCCCATGTAGCACCAGTGACCCCAGCCCAACCACACAGTCCATACCAGTTATATATAGTTTTCCTGGTCCTCAAGAGTATCTCAAGATAGAATAGGAAGATATCGTATATATTAATGGAAAGCCATATGCATCTTAGACCTCGGGGTCTTTCTTCAACCCTGTAATCATGCAATGTCTAGAACATAACAGCAGGTCCACAGTCATACCCAAACTGTCTTGCTCTGGAGACCAGGCTGGCCTCGAACTCACAGAGATCCACCTGCCTCTGCCTCTGCCTCCCCAGTGCAGAGGGATTAAAGGTGCACGACACCAATGCCCAGCTTCTTGTAATAATTTCAAGGTTTTACAGTGAAAACATTTTTTTCTGTCTTGCCTTCTCAGATTTAAATGAATGTTCACTCGATGAAACAAAGTGGGCTGCCAAAGGTGGCTACTGATTAGAGGCTGGGAGAGTTTTATGAATGTGAACCTCATGATTTGTGGAAGATTTTTCTGTGCTGTAACGCTTTTTTTAAAATTTGTTTTTGTAGGAATCAGGGTAAATGTGTTGAGGGCATGGTGGAGATCTTTGACATGTTGCTGGCAACATCGACTCGGTTCCGCATGATGAACCTGCAGGGAGAGGAGTTTGTGTGCCTCAAATCTATCATTTTGCTTAATTCTGGTGAGTTGCTAACCTGACAGAATTTAATGCTGGGTTGCTGGGAGAAATATTGACTTGTAAGTTTTTTTCTTTTTTTTGTGACTAGATCCAATTGACTCAATATAAAGTATAATGTTACACATTGAAAGAGATGACACACATTTCAAATAACCTGTCATCACTGTAATTAGAGACACAGAACCATGTTGATCAAATATGGTGTGTGAAAAATATTTGTGTATCTATAGATAGTTATACATGTTAAAGTGGAACTAGATTAAGGGGCAGTCCTTTCAGGTTATGACACAGGCCCTGGATACACAGCTCAATTGTGGAGTATGTGGTTAGCATGTTCAATGACCAGCACTGATGAGAAAAATGATGTCATCTAGATACTCAAGAAAGATTATTATTGTTTCCGTTTAAAACTGATTAAAGATATGCTTGGCTTAAAGATTTAGAAAAATAAATAACTAAATGGTCCTCAAATGGATGACTATGGAATGCTGTAGACAATGCTTCTGAAAGTACACTTCATTTATGTGAAGAGGCTCACAGTCCTTGGCTATTGTCCCTAGGATGAGGAAGCCAAGCTAGGAGGCACTGTAGTTGTTTAGCTGCTCTGTCCCCCCGTCCCTCCCTTCTTTTCCCACCCCTCCCCTTTTTTCTCCTCTCTTCCCCTCCCCTTCCCTTTCCTTTTCTTTTTTCTTCTCTGTAGTGAGGCTGGCTGTTAGACATGGAGAGAGTCACCGCAGGTCACCCAGACAGAAATTGTGGCTCAGCCTGAATTAACACTCTTACCCTTCCCAGCCCCTTTGAGTACCGCGTAGATGCCCTTAACCTTAGTCCTGTAGCTCCACTTGGTTGTATCTTAATGTCACCGTCTCATAGAAATCAGTCTATTCTCAAGCCTCTGGCCTGATTTAGTTCCTCGCCCAGTATGCCTGGTCTCGGATGTCTTATGTGTAGAGCCACAGCGTGATCTTACCCAGAGCGAATCTGCTGTCTGTGCACAAGGTCTGTTTCCTCCTCACGGTCCCAGACTCTTCCTGTCTCCTCTGACAATTTTCTACTCCAGTTCCCCTCCAAAGCTAGACACCCATATTCCTTAATCACGTTATCATGGCAATCATTTTCACTTATCAATGGAGAAACAGAAATTGGTACAATTCACTAGGCAAGGACAGAATTATGAAGTTCCATGAAAAAACAGTGTGACTCGATGGCCACTCGGGAAGTGATTACCCAGCATTCAAGTTTCTAGTCCCACTCATGCGCATTGTGCCTTTTCATTTGAGTCGCTTGTCCTGCTCGTTGAAGGGTCCAGATCCCACAATGGCTCTTTATTGGATGACAGTTCTGGGAGTAGAGCCACTCGCCTGCACGGCGCCAGGTCCCGATCCCGCTCCTTCTTCAGGGGAGGGCTGGCATGTGTGGACAGCCCGCATGTGGGCAATCTGTTAACTTCAGGGACTGCATGCTGAACGAGTGCGGGGAACTTTTTTTTTGTATTCTCACTCTAACCAGAAAAGAATACCTCAGACACAGGAAATAAGTTGTAGAATGAGCACAGTGGGTGCTTGTGGTCATGAAAACTATTTCCCATATACCCTTTTACCTTTTTGTTCTGCTGTTTTGTTGTTTCTGTTCTTACAATGGTGTGGATGTATTTTTTTAATATTATTGTAAAAATTAAAGACGAACCACTAGATTTGTGGGCTGTGAGCTTTTATAACCCAATGGGATAAGAATTTTAAGGTCTTTCCAGAAATCCTTTATTGAAGACTGACTATGGAGCCTCATATTGTATTTTCCACTTCAGAATTGGGGTCCCAGCTGAATCTTTATGACACTGGACAAGCCCCTCCACCCCCCTCCTGTCTTTGTTCCTACCCTCTGTCTCAGAAGCTCTGTAACATGTGCTTGCTCTTAAAGGGCCGGGACGCTATTTTGGAAATAAAAGTCCTTGTGTACGGCAGAGTTGATCATTACTGTTTTGTGAGGTAATGGGTAGCAGCTTGCCTTTGCCATCAAGGACAGTACTGCTGGCTCAGGAGACCTGTAGCACAGCAGAAGCAGCCGCCCAGCCCTGACAGGCAAAACCACTCTTCTTACCACAAAATGAGCTGTGTTCTAGAAAGACAGGCCTGTGCCTTGCACAGTTCCTAGTGTCTGCTATTGTTCCTGGAAAAGCAGAGCCAACGAGGGTGAGGCTCTGAGACACAATGGGCCAGTACTGGGAAGTCTTTTCAAAGTGAAAAAAAAAAAAAAGGAAAGTAAAAGAAATCTGCCACAGAAAGGTTACTACCATGAATTACTGCCCCCCCACCCCCACACACATGCGTACAATTGTAGGAGTTCCAGATGTTTCTAAGACCTTAACCATCTCACGACTTTGAACTGGGACAACTCTTGACCTATCATGAGACACATGATAAAGTGATTGTGACTCCAGAAACCTCTGACAGAGGCTGCACAGACTGTGACTCAGGGAACCTGGTTAGGAGATGCCCGCCCATCTCTGGCTAAGCCTCAGGGTTTGAGGGGGAAGAAGCCCGTGCTTTTGGCGGTGTCTCTGATACCCTGTTCACAGCAGGCTTGGTTTGGAGGCAGAATCAGGAGAAATGAAGGGTGGTTTTGAGGGCCTGTTCAGAATGTCTTTCTAGAAGCCACAAGAGGATTCCAAAGGCCAGAATTTCCACAGATAATCTCCTCACAGCTCCTTAGAAGAAGATGTTTAACACAATTCCCGTGTTAGTCAAAATGATTTATTTGATTACAAAAGCTCAGAATCATCCATAGAACAAACACGGATCCCACATCGAAGGAGAGAGATTGTCTTGGTCAATCCAGACAGGCCTTAGCAAAAATCAAAACCAGCTTCCTGGCTTTCTGAGAACTAGCTGGACAGAGTCCAAGAGGAGGGCAAGTAGGAAGAGGGCAACTCAAGGCAGGGGCCTGCAGAGGAGCAGAAGTAAGAGGAAGGGTGGTCATTCCAGCCACAGCAGGGGGTTGAGAAGCATGCAGCAGACCTGGCTGCACTCCTCCTGCCCACTGTGATGTCAGTTTTTCTTCAGGATCATTCAGACATGGCCACTGCCTCCAGGCCCAGTTCCATAGCGAGTCTTCCTTCTCTTGACTGTTTGGCTTCTTAGTAACACATGATCTGGCCTCCCAACAACTGGCTGATTTTATTTCTTTCCTCAAAAATTTCATTCATTTCTTCAGTAAATTTTGTATTTATGACAGTCATGCTGAGGTCTTCATGACAGGCACAACCAAATAAACATTTTGATTTTGTGTTTTTTTATCTTTAACCAGAATTATTCTCTGTTTCTTTATATATGTATTTCCCAATTTCCCTAAGAATGGTTTATTGTTCCATTTTGTTTCTTGTGGTCTTGGAGTCATGAATTGTTAACAGAAATTGCCTCATTCAACCCTTTAATAAAAGCTTATTTGCTGAACATTGCTGGGGGATACACAGGAAAATTGTCATCTGGCTGGGTTCTCCTCCCACTCTGAAGTAGCTGCCTTCCCTGTAGACTATCTCAACACCGTGGGTTACTGAGGACAGGGGGAAATGATGGAGACATAGAGGATGCAGTCAGTGGAGCACAGGAGGCCTAATGCAAGGAAAGCTGTTATTGTCAAGGATGAGAGCCTGGCTTCTGCTGAATAGATCTCTGGCTTTTATAATGAAGTGTTTTAGTTTAATATCCTCCAGGTAGCCACCCCAAAAGTGGAGAGACTCTTGGCTAATAGTAATAAGGACCGTAGTAACTACTGGGAGCCTTGGTAAATTATGCTGTATAAATGATACAGAAACATGGTGTTAGGATGACCTCGATCATATGGGTTTGACCTTCTGTTGACAGACCACAGAGGCAAAACTGCAGAATCACTGCACATCACTTAGTAGTTCCTCTTCTTCTTAGCCTCATGTCGCTTCCAAATTCACTTCCAGGCAGAATGCTACCCTGTCGCTGAGTGTTTTCCAGACCTGGGGAAATCCATGGATTTGTGTGTAGACATCTGTCATCTCTCATGAATGTGCAGTTTAGCCTTCAATTCAACTTACTAGTTATGTCTATCATTTTTGGAGCCACTTCTTACACACACACACTTACAAGTAACAGATCCAGCAATAAGACATTCAATTGTGTTTACAATAGTTTATGACAATGCAAACCCAATATTTAAAAGAATACTTTTGCCTTTAAAGATCAGATCAGCTCCGCTAGAAGAACGGGTTTTGCATACTGCCCACATTGACTATAATGTGCAAGATGCTGGAATCTGGGCAGGAGAAGCTATCCCAAGAGGTTTCAAAAGGCAGCAGGAGATTGAGAGCCCCAGAGATGATGACAGAAGGGCTTGGGAAGGAGAAACACCTTACAGGGATCGATATAGATACCAAGAGGCCAGGGTTCATTGCTACTATGAACCAGAGCCTCAGATAGAAAGAGCCCACTCCAGGAGTCCACGGAAGCATAAGGAAAATAGATGTTTCAGGATTGTGTAGGATATGTGGTAAGGGCAGACACTGAACTAATGAGTGTAGATGAACCAGGGATATGCAAGGGAACCCGTTAAGGCTGGGAAACTCCAAAGGGGTCCTCGAGAAGGCCCCCACGTCAGAAAAGGTCTGGTCATTTCCAGTAGCAGTAGAAGACAATCTCTCACAGGATGAATAGGTAGTTCTTCGTCTATTGTGAAAGATGACAATGCCATAGATGGTAGTTTGGCTATCGATGAAGAATCAGGTAAGACTGGAGAAGACGAAAAGCTCATATTTTGGTAGACCTCAATCAAAGACAAACAACCTCACTTAAGAGTACAGATTAGTGATAAAATTATTAATGGCATAGTAGACACACACACACACACACACACACACACACACACACACACACACACGCACTCAGGCAAACACTCATACATTCTCTATATTGTATTTTAGAGAGCCTTTCTCATCTTCGTTCTCATTTCAGTCTCTGCTAACTGATCCAGTGGATCCC